AAAAAAAGTTAAAAACGTTTACTTCAGCTTTCATTAAACAAAAGCTCAGCTAACAAACTCCACACATCAAGTCTTTTCGTCCTGTTTCTTAGAGATGAATGCACAGAAGAGTGAGGACAGCTGGAAAGCCTGAAAGGCTCAACATTAAGGAAAGTGTCAGGGCACATTCCTGTGAGCGTCTTAGTAATGCTTTTTCCTCCTTCTTTTCCTGGACTCAGTGAATGAACCTGACTGTCATTTTATAAACTATATAACAAAATTGTTCTACTGTAAAAGGACCCCTCCCTAGAAGATAAAAACTATTTGTACATTTAGAGGCAGAGTCTATCATATAGCTTTGTCTGTTCTGGAACTGGAATATGGCCTCAAAAAGCACTAAAAATCTTTGAAGTAAACATTTTATTAAATGCATTTCAGTGTTCTGCCTGCATGTATGTCTGTGTACCATATGAGTGTCCAGTGTCTGCAGAGGCCAGAAGATGGTACCAGATCCTGTGGAACTGGAGTTACAGACAGTTGTAGGTGCAGAGAACTGAACCCAGGTTCTTGAAAGAACAAGGACTCTTAACTACTAAGCCATTTCTTTAGCCCAGGAAAATAATTCTTACAGTCATATATATTCATGGATGTCATGCTAAGACTGCTTAATGTTTTTTTTTAAAAAGATTTATTATTTACTATGTATACAGTGTTCTGCCTGCATGTGTCCCTGCAGGCCAGAAGAGGGCACAAGATCTCATTATAAGTGGTTGTGAGCCACAATGTGGTTGCTGGGAATTGAACTCAGGACCTCTGGAAGAGCAGCCAGTGCTCTTAACCACTGAGCCATCCCTCCAGCCCTGCTTAGTGTTTTTTAAGCAACTACGGTGGGAGTAAAAGTCACTAGCAGGACTGACTAATTTGTTTCTTTTTATTCTTGAAGCTGTTCCTTGCTGTGAGGCCCTAACTAGTCTAGAACTCACTATATGGCCCAGACTGACCTTAAACTTATGGCAATTCTCCTGCCTCAGCTTCTCAAGTGCTGGGATTACAGGTACACAACACTTCATCACTATTAAAAAATTTCCATATAATCTGAGTGTGATGGCACAATGTCTTTAATCCCAGAATTTAGGAGACAGCAGCAGGTGGATCTCTGTGAGTTCAAGACCAGCCTGGTCTACACAGCAAATTCCAGGACAGCCAGGGCTACATAATAGAGACCCTTTATCAATAAACAAACAAACAAAAATCTCTAAATTAAAATGAAGTGCTAGAGCCAGGCATGGTGATGTGCAGAAAGCAAGAGCATCATGAGTGGTAGACTAGGCTCTACATGTGTTTAAGGCCTGACTGATTAACTAACAAGACACTGTCTCTGAGAGGGAGGGAGAGGTGGGAGAGGCAGAGGGGGATAGAGCTCAAGCTCAGTGGCACAGTGCTTATCTATCATGCTCTAGGACCTCTGTTCCATGAATTAGTTTAAACCACTGGGGAAAAATTTTTTTGTTTTTGTTTTTGTTTTTTTTTTAGATTTATTTATTTATTATGTACACCAGAAGAGGGCACCAGATCTCATTACAGATAGTTGTGAGCCACCATGTGGGTGCTGGGAATTGAACTCAGGACCTCTGGGAGAGTAGTCAGTGCTCTTAACCTCTGAGCCATCTCTCCAGCCCCCGAAAAATGGTTTTTATACCAGTACAAAGCTGTTTTTATTACTATGGCTCTATAGTAGAGCTTGATGTCAGGGATGGTAATTCCTCCAGAGGTTGCTTTATTATACAGGATTCTTTTAGCTATCCTGGGTCTTTTGTTTTTCCATATGAAGTTGA